TACAGTATAAAGTGCGAGGTCTGGACTTCGGCGATCCCAGATTTGAGATTTTTCCGGATATTAGATCATTTTAAATCTACTAAGATGGTACGTAGAAATTATAAAATTGAAAATATGAAATCATGATTTATGAAATAATGAAGCATTTATGATTTAAAGGGTATCAAAATTTACAAAAGAAAAGAGCTTAATATTTATATATTTACTTTATTAAACATTTCTTTCAATGTGAGTTGTTTGATTTGTTTTCTTTGCTAATACTTTAGACTAATACTATAGACATATAATTTCTTGATCAGTTATTAAGTTCCATTGTTCAAGTCCTGTAATTGCTGTGTCGAGAATTCCGAATAACTTGTCAATCAAAATTTTTTCTCGTTCAGTAACCTCTCTGTTACTTTCTTCACTATCGGTAGCTGTATTTTCTGGATTTAAAACCATACTACAGATTTCGCCCTCCGTTAATTGATTGATGATTGGGCATTGTCATCGCAATGAAAAACTTCTGTTTAACTTCGCTAAATTCTGCCGCCTGGTGCGGCCATGCGAGCTCTGGCGCTGGTTCTGGCTTTATGTGAATAACAAATCAGTTATTATTAATTCAAAATAGCACTAAATATAATCGTTTGTCCTATGAATATCATTAACAGAATCTATTTTTAGCATAAGGAAAGAAATTTTTGTTAAATTTCCCCTTGTCAACATTTTAGCGCATTAAACTTAAATCTGTAATCGAAAAATACTCTGTTATTTGGCGTCGCTGCATAAGTCATCACTCAAGTTGTCATCCGTTAATAAACATGCGGTGATGAAAGCAAAATACAATAAATATTGATTCGCGATTTCGGCATCAAGGATATAAAATATTAGTTGGTGTAAAATTAACAAATGTTTCGGTTTCAGATTATGCCAAGCAGATACGCAGTTATGGAGTCAAGTTACTAATTTCACAAATTTATGCTAAAATAATTATTTCTTCAATAATGAAGATATTTTATTTAGCGCCAAACTGAGATTAAGAATCGGGATTTCCGGCATGTTTTTTTATGATGAGGAAAAAAATCTAATGCGCATGCGTAAAGCATAGATTTTCCTCTTCCCTCCAAAAAAAGCCCTAAAAATTGGTTGGTGGTGGCTTTGAGGTCCGGATTTTAGATCATTCCAGATATTGGATGTCCGGATCTCCGACTTTGTACTTTGTACTGTATATTACATATATATATATATATATATATATGTAGTAAAAAATGTATATTTTCAGTATACATTTCTTATATATATATATACATATATATGCGATACTTAATTTTACTAATGCCTTGCATGTAATGCCCCTTTTAGGTGCAAAACATCTCTCCCTTCTCAACTGCAGTTTCTTCTAACAGTATCATGAATTTTGTCAAGTTAGAAGAACCATCTACTTAGGGAAAAGATGTAACTGCTAATTCAACATCAATAAGTGTAGAAAATAATAAAATCAATTCTTTTCTTTTCAAATCTGAAGTTACAGATGCAGAAATATTGTGGGCTTTTAAGTGCATCAAAAGCCACTATTCTTTTAAATCGTGCGATGATATTGGGCCGTTATTCACTAAAATGTTCCCGGCTAGTTCCATTGCAAAACAGTTTTCATGTGGTGAAAAGAAATGTGCTTATATCTGTTATTTTGGTCTTGGCCCTTATTTTAAAACTTTGTTACTAAAGCATTGTAAAAATGCTGAGTTTTTTACATTACTATTTGATGAGACTCTTAATCTGACAAATCAAAAGAAACAACTAGATATTCATGTGAGGTACTGGCATCACGAAAATAAGGTCAGAACTCAGTACCTTACTTCTGCATTTATAGGCCATGCAACAAGTGAAATTATTTTATCCAAATATTATAAATGTGTTGAAAAACTAGACTTGTCATAACTCTTACAAATATCGATGGATGGTCATGCAGTAAACTGGAAATTTTATGATTTGTTGCAACAGGACTTGAAAAAGGAATATAACATTCAATGCTTGACATTAGGGACATGCAGTTTACACATTCTTAACAATGCTATCAAGCATGGGATGTTATCCACTGGCTAGGACATTCCATCAATATTTTCCTCCTTATATTGGATTTTAAAGATTCTCCTGCAAGACATGAAGATTTTTTAAGTATATCTGGCTTAAAAAAGCTACCTGTGAAGTGCTACTGTTTTTACCGATGGTTGCAAAATGTCCCAGCAGTGTGAAAGAGCCATTGAGAATATGGGATGACTTGCTACATGTACATTGAAAAAGTTGAAATGGGGCAAGTTTAAAAAAAATTCATTGAAATCCTTCTCAAATATTTTGGAGAGCAACTAAGGCTAAAACATTTCTTATAAAATTAAATTTTTTTCTCTCTCTGTCGAAAATATTTTTGCCTTTCCTTGAATATTATCAAAGTGATAAACCACTTATTCCCTTTTTTGCTGAAGATATCGTAAAACTTGTAAATGATTGCCTTCAGCACTTTAAAATTTTGAAACTAGAATATTCAAAAATAACTAAAGCAGAAAATCTTTATAAATTTAATTTTAATTATCCAAATTGTTATAATGATAAAAGTAAAGTTTATTTGGGATTCATTGCTGAGCAGTTAATGAATGATAAATGCCGCAAGAAGGACATTTCACAAGCTGAAAGTTTTGCATTAAAACAAGAAGTTCAACAACACTTAATGTCTAACTGTCCAATAAATTATTCTCTTATTCGAAATGCATCTTGTATAGACCCGTGATTGATGGTTAAAAGTCCAGAGAAAGCCCAGAACAAAATGCAAGTAGTTATAACGGTAGTTAATGCGGAATAAACGTGTTTTACAAGATGATTGTGATGAAATTCTGCTGCAGTTTGGAGTTTCTAGACAAATTTACATGAATTTTCCACTTTTGAGCCTCAAAATATCTCTCTTGACACATTTCTCACTTCTTATTTTCATGATTTTCACTATTCAAAAGTATGGAAAATAGTGAAAATGATTCTTGTCACATGGATAGGCCTCTGTGGAAAGGGGCTTCTCTGTAAATAAAACAATTAAAATTGAAAATTTAAGTGAATCATCATACATTTTTCAATGCACAGTATTTGATTACATAAAATTTTCTGGAGGTGTTCTTAATATTGAAATGAATAAAGAAATGAGATCAGCAGCAGCTTCTGCAAGGTCTAAATATATGCAGTATTTAGAAGAACAAAAATCTTTAACTAAATCTGAAAATTCAAAGAGGAAAAGAAATATTATTGAGGAAAAAATTGATTATATGAAGCAGAAGAAAAAATTTCTTCAAAGGGACATTAAAGATATTAATGAAGAAGTAGATGCTTTAGCAGATGAAAGCTGAGACCAGCAGAAACATTGATTTGTTTATCAAAGCAAATGAACTTAGAAGAATAGTTAAAGAAAAGGAATAGACATAAATAAATTAGATGTTAAAATAGCTGAAAAGATTTCAGATTTAAAAAAAGCACAAATGTTTTGTATCTTTTATTGTACAGTTTATTATTCTAGTATCTTTCAAAAAACCAAGGAAATAAATTGTATGTTTACAAATCAGTTATTTTAATCTGCAAAATATTCTTACATTGTGATTATAATAGTAGTTGACTGTGTTTAAATAAATATCAAATAAGTTAAATAATAATCATGTAAATCTCTAAAATAGTGACTGTTATTAGTGTAAAATACACTTATACATGTTTTTCAAGAAATTATGTTCCTAATTTAATGTTATCTACTTCATAACTTTTAGGGAGTTAGTTTAATTTTCAAAATTGTTTTATGGTAAGTATTAAATTGAATTTAATAACAGTGCATAATACACACTTCTGTTAGTTTCTTAAAGTGAAATTACAAGCATGTAGTCAGTTGTATGGATAATTGATTTATTCTATTCATTTTTTTTGTTTGCATATAGGTCCTTAATTTTTTCTTTGATGGTCCTTAAAAGTCAATTTTTATGTAAGGAAATGTGTACGAACCCTGTTAGCTACGTGGGCTTCATGGAATTGTGACTTTCGACATCAAGTCCTGCATAGCCGAAACATAATGCAATACTGATACTAAATATTCATAAACTTCAAATTAAATTGTAAATTTGTGGTTTTAACGATTTTTTAAAATTTATATTTAAGGCAATTTAAGACTTTCTTATTATTGGTAAGTGTTTAATACACTTGTGCAGTAGAGATTATAAAACTGTAGTATAAAACATTTCTAAATCTTAATCTGGCAAATTCTTTGAAATAAATAACTGAGAAAATACACAATATGTTACACAGAATATATATATATATATATTAAAAAAAACTTGAATCTTACTTTAGACATTTAACGTGTCATACATTCTTTAATTTTCTTATAACAAAATAGTATTCTGCAGTCTGTCCTAAAGGCACTCATTTTCGAAAGCTATCCAAACATTCTGCACGGACAATCAAAAAACAAGTGCCATTTAGACCGATTTTAAGAATGACTTAATAAAATCACTATATATTAAAAAACATATTCTAAATATTTTTGGTGCATAAATCAAGCTAAATTTAGCAATAATAAAATCTAATAAATTCAGCAGAATCAGTATGTAAAATTTGAGGATATGGATAATGTAATTTTTTACATACTTCAACTATGATAAATTTTTATTCAGCATTCATCATGTATTAAATCTGTAGTTAAAAAATGGGCAAATAACTTTAGATGCACTGAGCCGAGCAACATTTATGCTGCATTCTAGTTTCGGAATGCACATGAAAAGTTACTTTTAGCTAAAGTTGTCATTTTATGCTCACTGTTTGCTATTTCAAGAGTAATTTAAAAGTAAATTTAAACAGTAATAAATATATACTTTACACTTTTATAATAATTCTTTAAAAACTATATTCAATACTTAGTTCTCTAATCAGTTGAGTACTGAAATCAATTTATGCTTATTAATTATGAACAAAGCTCACATGTGAATACTTTTCATGTTCTTTAGGCATGGCATACATTCACCTACTAAAAAGCTTGGAAGATTTAAAGGTTTTCAAGACACCAGTCCTAAACAGAATTTATTACAGAAAGACAATATTGTAATTCATATTTATATTTTGAAGCATATAAAACAAATAATAAGAGTCAAAATGCATATTTTAAAATGTAACAGGAAAATACATTCCAGAAATAAGCAAAAAATGTCAATTTTTCATAACTAAACAATCAAAGAGTGATCACGCAGTTCAACTATGTGGAATACTATATAAATTATAAAATTTCAAAGTAGTTCCATCTTGGCAAGAACTGTAAAGGAATACTCTGGATTCCCACCAAATAGGAGAATGAAAATTCAAGGCGTGTTTTAAAAACTTTTCAGTCTAGACGCATAGTGTGTGCACTGGCTGTGATGAAAGTAACTTAATTATGTACCAATTGAAAACACAAAAATTTAGCAATTACATGTGACTTTGATTAAGGAATACATTCCATCTACATAATGAACAAAATCAAAATTAAATTTAGTATTTGAATGCAATGAATAAGTTTTTAAACACTGAATTTTTTCCAACATTAATTGTGATAAAATTGCCATGAATGACAGCTTTACTGTTTTAAAAAGTATAAATAAATTCTGGATTGGAAGTTACTGTTTACAAAATGGCAATTGGGAAGCAGTTATACCTATCCTATTAACCCTGCAATGGAGGAGCTGGTGTACAGAGTAAGCCAATGCCATCTTTTGAGCTGTTATTTTTAGACAACCCCTTCCTGAGCTTCCTCCCCTGCACTACCCTCCTAGAAACATTCCATGAGTACAATGCACCTGGTATTTCTGGTCAGTCTGGTTTTCGTCTTCCTTCCGAAAGCAGTTATTGTGAACATGTCACGTAGGTGAACTCAGTACGCCGCTCCTCCAAAGTATGTACAGAAAGAATATTGTACCTCCTGAAGATTATTTGCACGTTTTAGAAGAAGTCTCAGTTGATGAAGAGTCTGACAATTTGGATAATGCATCTGATGTCAATGAATTGAAAGTCATCTAACATTCTAATCATGAAAGTGACTCAGAAATTGAGGGAATGTTCCTTTACATCCCTCATTTTGCTTCCTGAAATGATGTTTCCCCAACAAATGACGATTTTTTAGTAAAGTTGAAAATGACATAAGTGATTTAAAATATGAGGACTTTTTTGTAAAAACAATTTACAAAAAGAAGAAAGTTGGTGGAAAGTTTCTGAAAGAAGAAAAGGAAACTTATAAGTGAAATGAACTTCCCTTCAAGAGCAAATTCGCCAGAACGCCTTGAAAAAATTTGATGAAAAAAATATTCCCAAGTACCAAAACTTGTGATGATATAAATGATTAGCTTTCTGCTTTCCAGAAAATCATAAATTCAAATACGATTGATGCTATCGTACAATATACAAGTATTTATCTCAAATGTAACATGACTGCAGATGATCTCCAAAACAACTCACAGAGAAGCATGTATGATACCAATAGAGCAGAAATGTCCTTTTTAGGAATTTTATTCTTATTAGGGTGAAAAAAAAAAAAAAAAAAAAAGAAAGAAAGAAAAAGAAAGAAAGAAAAAGAAAAAAGTCAAAACTCAATTTGGAGGAAGCATGGGCAAAAGACGGTACTGGAATTGAAATTTTGCAAGGTCATGGGTCTCAAGCAATTCAGAAACCTGTGTGCTGCTATTAGATTCAACGATAAAGGCACAAGGTATGTGCGAAAAAACTGATTAACTTGCTGCACCAAGAGAATTTTTTGAATCTTTCAACCAGATCCGTCAAAACTTTTATACACCAGGTGACAAACTCACAATCAACGAGAAGTTGGAACCCTTTTGTGGGAGATGCTCTTTTATTCAATTCATCCCCAACAAGCCCGCAAAGTACGGTCTGAAATTTTTTGCAGATGTTGACTCACAAATGTTTTATACATTGAAGCTTGATATTTACTGTGGCAAGCCCCCCCAAGACCTTATACGGCGTCTAATTCAAGCACTGACATTGCCAAAAGGCTAATTGGTGCGTACGAAGGTTCCAACCGTAACCTGAGGACCGATAATTGGTATACAAGCTACCCGCTAGCTCAATATCTTCTTAACACATGTGGGCACGCTGAAAAAAAAAAAAAAAAAAAAAAAGGAAATTCCAAATGAATTCCAGCCATCAAAAACAAGAGAAGTCGGCAGTTCACTGTTTGGTTTTCAAAAGGATATGACAATTGTTTCATATGCAACAAAAAACAAAAGTGTGTAATACTGCAAAGATTCTACATTACCTATAAACTTTAATTCCATTGTTAAAGATGGCTTTACCAAGTCCTCTCTGACCAAAATAAAGATTTACAAAGTTTTTTGGTTAGACAATTGTGGATTAAATGGAAAAAACAACATTTGATGGATCTTCGAACAGCTCATAAATTTAAAAAATCCTAACGTTTATGATGATCTTGTATTAACCAAAGGCAACAACTGAACTAAAAACTGCTGATGGAACAATAATAAAATGACTAGTTCAATTATTATATCTGTTTATGTGAGTATCGTTTGCTTCATTTTATTGTTGCAAACAGCGTAAATTCCTTTTTTTTCTTCCTTTAGTTTTGAACTTTATGTGTGGCAACAAGATAATTGATTGATAGAATTGTGTTTGTGACAGCCATGTAGAATGGCTCGCTTATTTTGTATCAATTATTTCGCATCGCTGACAAGTGTAATTTAATAAAAGTGTAGGAATACAGTCCATTTGTTGATTGATTATTGTTTGTGAAACATATTAAGTTTAATAGAATACATATTGTTGGTCAAAAGTCTAGCCGGAGAGCTAGTGAAGATAGTGACTGTTCTAAGTGTATTCTAACAACACAAATATGCATATGGTTTGTGAAAATTATCCACTTTGTGAGGTAAGTGGATTTTGAACAAAAATTCGTTTAATTTGTTGTTAAATTTTAAGAACAATGTTGTAATACAACATAGAATTCGATTTCATTTTAATAATAGTGTTAAGTGATTTAAGAACAATTTCTGTTTTTGAATTGATCAATTATGAGTGAACTTATAACTTTTAAAACAAAAAGAGCGGTCTTACGCAGGAGTGTTACTAATTATGTAAAGAAAATTGAAACTATTTTAACTGCAGATGAAATTAATTTAATAGAACTAGAGGAATGTGTCGAATTATTGAAACAAAAAGAAACTGAGTTAAGGAAGCTTGATTCTGAAATCGAAAGTTTAATTACAGATACTAAAGAATTAGAAAACGAAATAGATAATGTTCAGGAGTACACAGATAAAATTTATTTGTGGAAATTTAAAGGTGAAAAAATATTAAAAAATCAAAATAATAAAAATAATTCTAATAGTGTAATTTCAGAACAGGTTCTTGACAATATTAAATTACCCAAGTTAACATTACCGACTTTTGGTGGTAATATTACAGAATGGATAGCTTTTAAAGATCTTTTCAGTGCTTGTGTAAGAAATAATACAAATTTATCTAATGCTCAAAAATTGCAGTATTTGAAGGCTTCGTTGAAAGGTGAAGCATATCGCATTATTCAAACCATTCAAATTTCGGATTGTAATTTTGAAATAGCATGGAATCTGTTAGACGAAAGATATTCAAATAAGAGAGAACAAATTTTTGCATATATTAAACGTTTTTTAAGTTTACCAACTATTCAAAATGAATCAGCATTTGCTATTTTAAATTTAGTTGACAATATTAATGAAATAATTCGTTCTTTAGAAGTATTGAATCAAACCATTGATAATTTTGGTGACACTTTAATGACTTATTTAATTTTGCAAAAATTAGACCCTTCTACAAAATTATGGTGGGAACGTCAGTTAAAATCTAATGAAATTCCAAAACTTACGACTTTAATTGAATTCCTAAAAAACTATGCAAGAACACTTCAAAATAGCAAATCAACAAGTAATAAGGTACCTAAATCTGTGTTTCAAAATAAGAATAATGTTCTGGTTGCTACTTTGGGTTGTGGTTATTGTAAAGAAGATCATAGTTTAGCCAAATGTTCGAAATTTCTAAATTTATCGGTTCAGCAAAGGATAGATTTTGTAAAATCTAATCGTTACTGTTTTAATTGTTTATCTAATATGCACTTGCTCAAAAAATGCAAGAGTTTAAATACATGTCAACATTGCTTTAAGAAGCATCACAGTATTTTGCACATTGTAAATAATTCAAAGAATAAAACTCAGTTAAACAGTATATCTCCGCCTACGCAATCTATCCCTAAAAGAGATGAATTAACGAGTCCTAAGGACGTTTCAGCCACAGTTTGTGCCTCTCATTATGATTCGAATGCAAAAGGTAATCAAACCAGTCACATTTTATTGTGTACTGCTTTAATAAAAGTTCAAAATTCTGAAGCAACAATTTGTGAAGTGTAGATGTTTATGTGACACTGGATCTCAGAGATCATTTATTTCAAGGGATTGTGTGAAGAAATTAGGATTACGAGTGAAAGATAATTCCATTTCTGTATCATGTCTAGGAGAATTTAATACTATAAGTAATGGGGAAGTCGATTTAGTATTCACTTCTCATTTTAAAAGTGATATTCGTGTATCAACATCAGCGTTTGTACTGGACAAGGTGACAGATAACATTCCCTATGTATCTTTGCCATCAATCATCTTCGATAACTTCAGTGATTTACAATTAGCTGATCCATTATTTTACAAGTCACAACCAGTTGACATTTTATTTGGAGTAAATGTATTTCTGCATTTAATGACGGGAGAAATTGTCAAACGTGGTCCTGATCTACCATTTGCTCTAAATTCGAGGTTGGGATGGATAATTTCGGGTACTACAAATTTTGAATCTACAAATTTTGAGCCAGTATATGTAAATCATTTGAATACAAACACAGATGAGTTAGTAAATTCTTTCTGGGAGTTAGAAAAGTTTCCAAATGTACAACCTTTAACAAATGAAGAAAAACTTTGTGAAGAACATTTTAAAAACTCGCATTTTAGAGACACATCAGGTCGTTATTCAGTTGCATTACCATTCAAACATAATAGAGATATTCTAGGTGACTCCCGTGAAGTGGCGTACAGAAGATTTCAATACTTGGAGAAGAGGCTGTTATCTATGAAAGAAATTTACAACCAGTATATTCAGTTTATGAAAGAGTACTTTTCACTAGAACACGTAGAATTAGTGCCAGACACAGATTATGAATTAGAGAATAAACACTATTATATCCCACATCACTTCGTGTTGAAGGACTCTAGCTTAACAACAAAATTGAGAGTTGTTTTCGATGCGAGCGCTAAAACAACCACAGGTGTTTCTTTAAATGATACACTAATGATAGGCCCAAAAATACAAGATGACTTAATTTGTATTTTACTAAGATTTAGACTTCATAACATTGCAATAACCGCTGATATTAAAATGATGTACAGACAGATAAAGGTTCATGAAAAAGATAGAGATTTTCAGAGAATATTATGGAGAGATAGCCCGTATAAGCAAATACAAGTTTGTCGTTTGGAAAACAGTTACATATGGAACTGCAGCTGCTCCATATCTTGCAACCAAAGTTTTGAGTCAGTTAGCGATTGATGAAGGATTGAACTTTCCAAAGGCAAAGAATATAGTTTTAAGAGATTTTTATGTTGATGATATGTTAACTGGTGTAAAAGATAGTTCGGAAGGTATTGCATTGATAGACGAATTGCAACATCTGCTAAAAAGTGGTGGCTTTGAGCTTCACAAATGGTCGACAAGTGAACCGTCATTGTTAAAAACCTCTGGCTTAACAAACACAGATAGTGACAATATTCATCGTGTAATAGAAGACAAACCATTGAAAGTTCTGGGATTGGATTGGAATGGCATCCGGACAATGATGAATTCAAATGTAATGTCGGTGTGTAATAGAGTATCAAAGTGTTCCGACTAAAAGAATTATTTTGTCATTCGTAGCAAAACTATTCGATCCATTGGGGTGGATAGCTCCGTTTGTAATTCTCGCTAAAATGATCCTTCAGCAATTGTGGAAATTACAGTTATCATGGGATGATCCTGTAACAGAAGAGATTGATCGAAATTGGAGAAATCTATGTAGAGAAGTTAAACTTTTGAATTCTATAAATATACCTAGGAAAATTCTGCTACCTGATTATTTTCGATGTGAACTTCACGGATTTTGTGATGCGTCTGAAAGAGGTTATGCAGCAGTTATTTATATCAAAACTTGCAATAACTCTGACATTAATGTTAAACTCGTAACAGCTAAAACTCGTGTAGCACCATTAAAATCTATTACGATTCCAAGACTGGAATTATGTGCAGCAGTGTTATTGGCACGCTTGATTCAGTCTGTAAAAGCTGCATTAGTTATAAATTTTGATTTAGTGCAAGCTTGGAGTGATTCACAAATCGTGTTGTCATGGCTAAGGTCAGATCCTAAAAAATGGCAAGTATTCGTATCCAATAGAGTTTCTGAAATACAATCCATCTTACCACCTGAGAACTGGAGTCATGTTGATGGAAAGGAAAATCCAGCTGATTGTGCTTCACGTGGATTATTTCCTGCAGAACTATTATCTCATCAATTGTGGTGGAATGGTCCTTCTTGGTTAAAGTGCAGTGAGATTGCCTTGTCTAAAAATATTCTTATAGATGAAGAGGCATTACCAGATGCACGTAAAACAGTCTCATTTGTAGTTTCTGAACCTGTACAGGAACTTGCTATTATATCAAATATATCTTCATTTCCAAAGTTACAACGCATATTTGCTTGGATATTAAGATTCATATCGAATTCTAAAGTAGCATATCTAGAAAGAAATACGTCTTTTTTATCTAGTAATGAAATTCGAGCTGCAACTTTCTGTATTGTCCGAATAATACAGCGATTTCACTTTTTTAAAGAAATTCAATGTTTGGAGTTGGGAAAGGACTTACCTACAAACAGCAACCTCCTTAGCTTGTGTCCAATTTTAGATGACAACAAAGTGTTACGTGTAGGAGGAAGACTGAAAAATGCGCAACTATCAGAAAATGAAAAACATCCAATCTTATTACCTTCAAAACACAATCTGACAGAAATCATAATTAGACACTTTCATGTCAAATATCTGCATGCAGCACCGGAACTTCT